GGATTGTGGGTTCGAGTCCCATCTGGGGTGACTCTTTTCCACTCCGGGGACCCACACTGGTTCGTGAGGTGCCCCAGCTTGGGAGGCTTTCCCTGCTACTGGTAGGGTCAGTTCACCCCTTTCTGGGCACCCCGGTGGCATCCGTGTCCCCTGGCCACTGCTGATGTCAACAGGAAGGAGGTGTCTTGGCTTAACGACAAGCGTGATCTCAGAATATGTTTTTAATCCCTGAAATGCCCAGCTCCATCAAACCCTGGTGTTGCGTCCCGGCTCCAAGGCTTTAAGTAAAATTTTGCCAATCTTACTGTAAAATCTGGGGTGAGAGACCTGAGCAGCAGGTGATAACGTGGCAGTGAGGCCTCCTGGTCACAGAGGTCTCAGCTGAGGCTGTGGCTGTCCCAGTGGATGTTGGTCTGATGAAACAGCACGGAGCTGCAGACACCTTTGTCTGTGCGAGGGGCAGCTGGCAGCCACCCCCCTCCCATGCAGAAAAGCTTTAGGCAGGAGAAAAGTTTATCTTTACTTCCCTTGCTGGGCAGGGCATGCATGGAGGTGGAGGTGGCCAGGCTGGGGCTGGGTCTCCTGGCAGGGATGTCAGGATGCATCTGTGTGCTCCTGCACCCCCCAGGCAGCTCATTTGGGGGAGGTTGTGGGATTTGAGCTGTTTTTTTGCAGATGTAAATGCTGATTTGGACTGTGTAAGGGGAGAACTCAAAAGTTCCCCTTCCAAATGAGACCGGGCACTGGCCGTAGCAGAGGCATAACTGTCCAGATCGGAGCCCCCCACACCTTGCTGTGCCCCAATTAAACTCCAAGGACCACCAGAGAGCACTTTCACCTCTTATTTGGGTTTTTGCCTAAAACAGAACCACTTCTCCTCACCCCAGGTGGGACTCGAACCCACAATCCCTGACTTAGAAGGCCAGTGCCTTATCCATTAGGCCACTGGGGCCCCACAAGATGATGAAAAAAGTGTAATTTCAGTATCTTGAGACAACTCCCCCCCCCCACTCCTCAGTGAACCAGTCTGGTGGTGGTGAAATCCACAACATGACACCACAGAACTTCATTCTGTTTAAACAAGGTTCACTAATGAGTGACTCTTCAAGCCTCTAAGGCTCAACCTGAGGTTTTTTGGTGTTCCACCTCAAGGGCCAGAAGCCCCCTGTACTTACAGGGTGGTTTCTGTCTTTTAGCACTAACAGAGAGCAACTGCCTCCTGTCAAATTCCTGCCATGGCTTTAGGTTAATTCAACAAAATGACATGCACTTTTTTTTTGTTAGGACAAAATCAGCTACAATGGAAGGAATCTGCTTGAAATGGCGAATACTCTATTTGCTACTTATATATGTAGTTCGACTGCTTTTACTCTTCCCTTTCTTTTTACTCTTCCCTTTCTTTCGCTCAGAATCTACTGCTGCTTTTGTGTTCAGCAGCAGAGGGTGTTCCCATAGAGCAGAGGGCTGGATGAAGGGGACAAAGAATAAAAAAAAAGTAGCTGAAAAAAATCTGAATTTTTAGTTTCTCTCAAACATGAACAGTAATTTTTTTTCTGCAAAATGATTGACAAGCTGTCACTGTATCACTAGGTTCAAAAGGAGACATTAAATCTTTTTATTGACACTTTTAGACCATTTTTATTCAATACAGCTCATGAGTTTCGCATCATCTACAGCTGCCAATGTCATTTCTTCAAAAAAAAGACGGTGTGACAAGGACTTCGATCTCTGCTGTTCTCAGTCAAAGTCTGCCTTCCTGCTCTGTTTTATATTCGAGTGTATCTTTTTCTGTCGTAGTCGTTCACGGTTCATTTTTTCCACCCTAAAACAAAATGAAAAGTTCCTTTAGTGTACAAAGAAAACATTTACATATTCAACTTTGAGCACAGTTATAATGTAGATTTGAAGAGCTAACATATGTCCACAGGCAGAAAAACAGTCCCTGTTCTTGGGAAGCTACCCAGGGCAGCAGTTCAGACCTAATGGACCAGTGATTTTTTATTTTTTTTTTCAAAAAGGAAATTCAAATGAGTATGAAGAAGATTGTTTAAAGATGCTGCAAGCTAAATTATGTAACGTGATAATCTGAATCTATCTCAAATAAAGACCATTTCAATAAAGATACCTCTCAATCAGCTTCTGTGTAGTCTCCTTAGACACCACCTTGGGTTTCTCAGTAGCCTCCGTGACCATGGTTCTGATTTTTTCCAAACAAATTGCCAGATTCCTCATTTGGTAGCGACTCTCTTCAGAGTTCACAATCAGCTCACCGGCTCGGTTTATCTTATTCCTGTGCTAAAGAAGGGAAAATGTGATGTCATCACTAAAACCTCATGAGACTTGTCATGTTCTGGCTGAAAGTGACATTTAAACCATGGATGGAAGGAGGAGGGTAGTTACCATGGATGCCATTTTTTGTCTCACAGCTTCTGGAATCCAGTCTGCTGATGCCAGGTGGAACCGAACTTCTGCCTTGGTATTCACTGGGAGGAAAAACAGGATCTCTTTTTTTGCAATGTTATAGCTCACCTTCCTAAGTTTTATGAGGTAATCCAGCGTGTTCACTGCTGGCTTGAACACAAGATGATTCCAGTATTAATTTCTCTAAAGATCACATTTTTTTTCTTGCTATGTTTTTATATACTGCTCTGTAAGGCAAACTTGAAATTTTTATGGAGAATCTGTCATGGGTATTTGCCTTTCTAGGCTCTACAAGATTTATTGCTATTGCCAGTCACTAACTACCTTATTATTAATGGCAATAGCAGAACAGGAAGTATTTTTAGTTTATTTGAATTAAGCTGAGAATTTATTGCACTGTGAAGTTTCAGAATCCAGTTGGCTTGTTGTATGTCGGATCAATGAAAACAGATTAGACTGAAGTGGTGGTTTGTGTGGCGTGTAGCAGCAACAATCCCAGTAATAGTGTTTCTAGGAGAATCCACTATGGGACCACTGGTCTCGAGCACTGTGAAGACTTAGAAGTTCTGTTAAAACGAGGGGTAATGATAATGAAAAATTAGCACTGGGCAGCACAGGGGTGCTCTTTAATTTCAAGCTCCCAATATTTTACCACAAAGTTTAAAGAATCAATTTAAAGATTAAGATTTTTCTTTAAAAAGTTTCTTCCTCACCTTTATTCACGTTCTGCCCCCCAGGGCCACTGCTCCGGCAGTAGGACACGGTCAGGCGATCTGGAAGAGAAAAGCAAATGAAAAATTAGCACTGGGCAGCACAGGGGTGCTCTTTAATTTCAAGCTCCCAATATTTTACCACAAAGTTTAAAGAATCAATTTAAAGATTAAGATTTTTCTTTAAAAAGTTTCTTCCTCACCTTTATTCACGTTCTGCCCCCCAGGGCCACTGCTCCGGCAGTAGGACACGGTCAGGCGATCTGGAAGAGAAAAGCAGCAGCGTGCTGACCCGGAGACACGTTCCCCAAGCTGGTTTTGCAGTGGGCAGCAAGGAATGTGGCCGATCCAGGCTGAAGGATGCCCATGACCCAGTGCTGCTCCCGCCCTGGGTTTAGCTCTGTGCATTGCGCACGGGGTCCGGAGTCCAGAGTCTAACCCACCTCTGGGCACTTAACCCCGGGCGGGC